GGGTAATGCAGTTGTCAGGCAGGAGGTAAGCTGTATTGTGCGTCACTATGTGCCCAAAGCTGTGAAGAAGCCTTGGAAATTGGTTCGGTCCCTGCCCCACGGAGCTCAACATGTGACGAACAGAATGCAACAGAAACTTGAAGGCCAGAGCTGCGGGGACTGCAGAGCGGCTGTCAGCCACTCGCCCCGCTTCCATGAGCTTTTACTGGGTTACTCCAACTTTGATTTGGAGTGTGCTTAGATTTCCTTGATTCTTCCAAAATGAAAATAAGTTTTTGGTTATATGAGTATAAAGGTAATATATATTTAGAAAATATAAGCAACCAATACAAAGACGAGAAAGTCACCCAGGATTCCATGTTATGGAGAAATGTTAGCATTTGTGAACATCTTTGCAGATGTTCCTGAGGACTTGAGGACACACAGTAGACGTAGATGTGCTGTGTGGTACCTGGCTTTGTTCTCTCAACATGTAGTGAGGCTCTGGTGAACACACAATACAGTGTACAGATGATGCATTGGGGAACTGTTCCCCTGAAACCTTTATAATTTTGTTAACCAGTGTGATCCCAATAAATTCAATAAAGAAGAAAGAAAAATATGTAGTGAGGCTCCAGCAAGATAAGATTAGGCTGCTCATCGCAGACGTGTGCATGGAAGCAGGATGGCTGTGGAGTGGGAGCCCGCGCAGTGGGAAGGTGCCTGCTGGCCATTGCACCGTGAGACCCACGTCTCCTCAGGCTCACACAGGGGCTCTAGCCAGAGAGGGCAGGCAAAGAACCCACTAGGTGTCTGGCACATTCCTGATTGTGAGCCCTTGGCCACGGAGTCTGGCTGCTTTGGGAGGGGACTTCGGGCTCCTGGTCAACCTTGAAGACCAGGGGTTCAGAACCCTGCGGAGATTTCTGTTCCATTTCCCCCGCTGAAAAGAGCCTGGCAAAGTCACGCTGCAGTGAGAGAGATGGACCCCAGGTGGCGCTGTGCACCGCACGCCGCCAGCCACAGCCGAGCTCGGCTGGCTGGAGTACCGCAGGTCACGTGGCTTGCCCTGCTCCCCACACACCTCTACACTTCGGTGGCCCCCAAAGAGACCACGGGGCAACATATTCATCAAGGCCCTTCTCTGTCTTGTCCCCGGACCTCTCCAACCCCCACACCCTGCTGCAAGAGCAGGTTCCTGGCACTGCAGGTAGTTTCCACCTCTGTCCTCAATTTACCATTTGCTCCCCACCTATCCTCAGAGCAAACCCCTCACCTAGGGCCAAAGGCCCAGCACCAGCACTTCCTCCGCAAAGCCTTCCTGACCTCTCCCCACCTACAGCCTCCCCTTCCCTTCTGTGGGTGCCTCCCGGGACACTCCTGCCAGCTGGGGCAGGGCCTAGTAGTGCCCAGCACCGAGCATGGGGCCTGGCACAGAGCTGCCATCAGGGAGTGAATCAGTCCCAGTAGGCCCACATTGAGGGGGAGGGGCAGGTCATAAAAAACCCTGAACCTGGATTTAGAGCTGCCTGGATTGACCTTGATCAAGGACTTCCCTTCACTGAGCCTCAGTTTATTCTCTGTAGAATAAAAACTATGGGTCGAATAGTCTCGATGACCCCTCCAAAGTGGGACTCCTCTCTCCACCACTGGTATGAGAGGTGAGGAATGACTTGCCCAAGGTCTCACAGTCCTTGGGGCTCAGGTCTGAGCCACAGAGATCACTAACCCCAGATGTCAGGAGGCTGCTGTCCTTGCTTCTTACCCGCAGGTGGGGTAGTGCTGGGACCCAGCCATCTCTGTCCCCACTGACTTCGGCTGAGGGAGTCCCAACGGGGCCTGTGCCAACCCAGCAACAGCCTCCACCCCCTCCACAAACCACCTCTAAACATGCGCACTTCAGCTGGTTCAAATTTAATGTATTTGTTTATCGTGAAAACAATGTGAGCTCTCGGCAGGCATTTTGGAAAATGAAGAAAAAACACCCAACACCCACAGTCTCCCCAGCCACCCACTGCTCCAAACCAAGATGGAATTAAAACCAGCAATAGCCCTGACCAGCTCTCTGCAGAGCCTCTTCAAGCACATCTCCTCCCCTGCACCCTCATCTAACAGCCCAGAAAGGCTGCAGTGGTGGTCCCATTTACTGATGAGGAAGGGGTTCAGAGAGTGGGAGGGACCTGCCCAAGGTCACCTGGCCGGCTGGGAGGGGCGGCCCCAGGAACTATCAGTGTGACTGTACACCCACTACACCTGGGCCGCCCCCTTGGACTCGACTGCCCACCTTCAGAAGGTCATACCCCGGCAGGGAAAAGAGGGTCAACAGCCCTGTATTCATTCAGCAACATGATGCTTGGTCTTCCACCAAGGGGCAGGGAAAAGCCTGGGCTCCAGGGGAATGGAACTGAGTGTGAATCCTGACTGTTCTGTGTGACCTGGGAAAGCCACTTTGTCTCTCCGGAGTCAGTATCTGGGTCTAAAAATTGAGTATAAGAGTATTCACCTCAGAGGATTCTGGCAAAAGAAAATGAAACCCCCAAGGTACGCGCTATACTGCCCAAAGCAAACATGGAAGTCACTAACCTGCAAATCTCAGCCAACTGGATGGCCCAGAAGAACCTAGCCTTCCTCCCTGAGCAGGATCCTGCCAGGATGGGGTCTTGGGACCCCTGCCTTCAGGCCTGGCTTCCTTTGGTGCTCTGGAAACACCCTTCTGGCCAGTCCTTCCAGTCCCAGTTTGCCTAATCCTGCTCCTTGCTTTCCCCAAGGCCTCCCCAGGGCCTCATCTGAACACCAGTTGCCAGGGATAAGCCTCCCTCTTAAAGGGACATACTGGTGGCCATAAAGGCCACCCTATCTGGGTTTGTATCTCAGGGCAGTTCACTCCCCCTCTCTGGGTTTCAGTATCCTCATTACTGAAATGAGCTGTGGTGAGAATTCAGGGAGAGATTATGAAAGGTATTTGCAAGGAAACTGGTTCACTACAGGTCTAAGGCATAGGTGTGCTATTGTTGGGAGCTTATCTTTGTCTTTGAAAAGGTGGAACCAATCCATAGGAGACAAACCTTGTCCTGCTCTATGGGCCCCATCCTACAGCTTCTGGATTCCAGCACCAGGGGCGAAGCCCAGGTATCTGCATTTAACCAATTCCCTAGGAATTCTTTTTTTTTTTTAATTTATCTTTATTGTTGAAAGTATTACAGATGTCCCCTTTTTTTCCCCATTGATCTCCTCCACCCTGCAACCACCCCACCCCTAAGCCTTCCCCATACCAATGTCTGTGTCTATAGGTTATGCATATAAGTATATAAGTTCTTTGATTAATCTCTCCCCACCCACTCCCCACCCCACCTTCCCTCTGAGATCCCTCAGTCTGTTCCATGTTTCTATGTCTCTGGAGCTTTTATTTTATTTTTTTAATTCTCTGACGGTTAATTAAGCCAGGGGATTCCTTTTTTAAAAAAATTTATTTATTGAATTTTAGAAACAGAGAGATCGATTTGTTGTTCCACTTTTCGTTGGTTGATTCTTTTTTTATAATATGTGAGGTGTTGTTGTTTTTTTATTTTAGAGAGAGAGGAAGGGGGGAGAGAGATAGAAACATCGTGAGAAAGAAATATCAATCTACTGCCTCCTGCACCCCCCTACTGAGGATAGAGGTCCCCCCCCCCCGCAACCTGGGAACTGAACTGGCGACCTCTCAGTGCATACATAGAGCAATGCTCAACCAGCTGAGCTGCACTAGCCAGGGCATAAATGTTCTTTTTTTAAAAAATATGTTTTTATTGATCTTTAGATAGAGAGGAAGGGAGATGAAGGGAGAGGGATAGAGAGATAGAAACATCGATGAGAGAGAAATATTATCAATTGGCTGCCTCCTGCATGCCCCCCACCGGGGATCAAGGCTACAACTCAGGCATGGGCCCAGACTGGGAATCAAACCATGACCTTCTGGTTCTTAGGTCAGTGCTCAATCACTGAGCCACACTGGCTGGGCATTAATGTTCTCTTAGAGTTCGAGTCTTGACTCTGACTTCTTTCCTAGCCAGAACTCAAGAACAGAGGTTGCTGAACCCAGGTCTGGTTTGACCTCATTGGTCTAACACCTGGTGCCTTTCCGCCACTGCCAGCATCTTATAGATGGACCATGGTTAACTTATCCAATCCCCAATTTCTTTTCTTATATTCACAATTTTAAGACTTTTGACGGGCAATGACTGTTTAATCAGTAACAGTATCAAGCACATCTATACAAATTCTCCTTTGGAATAGGCCTGCTGTGTGCCTGGTCCTTTGTGGGCTCTTTTATTTCATGTGCAAGGCAACACTACACAGTAGATGGTGTTTTTCCCATTCTGCGGATGGAGACACACAACTTCAGAGAAGCGAGGTGACTTGTCCAAAGTCACATAGTGGTGGAGCTGAGAAGACACCTGGAACTGACTCCAGAGTCAATGTGATGATCAGATAGTTATGAATAGAGGGATCCAGGAAGGATTTTTGAAGAAGGTGGACCGTGAGCTGAGTCTTATGGGGTGGACAGAAGGACAGCAGGAGGGGAAAGCCAGCTGATAAAGTCCAGAGCTTGAGCAAAGGCCATCAGATTTCTTCAAGCTCAAGATTTTTAGGGCAAAGGCATTAGCTGGGAGGGGCGAGTCATGGAGTGATTGATGGCAGCGGGGGAGAGTGGGGACAGTCCAGCCCTCTCCCCGCCTGGCCGGGGACTGTGGCTTCCAGGCCCCGCCCCCGTCCAGCCCCTCCGTCGCCAGTTGAACTAAGAATCCTCCGGCGGGGGTCCCACTCTGGCCCGGCCCCTCTGAAGCTTCCTAGTCCAATCACCCAGGGCGGCTCGGGCCCAGGCCCCGCCTCCGATCGTCCCTGCGGGGCTGTGCTCCGCCCCATTCCACGCCCCTTCTCGGCCTGGTCCAATCAGAATCACCCTTACAAGTCCGCTCAGG